AACCAAGTTATAAATTTCAAAGTTTATAGGCCCCCCTCTCCTATTAAATAAGCAAAATTATTATATTGTGTGACTTTGTAGTCTCCTACTGAATCAGAAGCCATGTATGTTTATTACAGCACTTTATAACCCCTTTAGAAATATGAAGGACTAGTGCAAAAAGTTTTATTTCTATTATCATAATGAATTTATCATTATTCAGACTTTTAGGTTTTACTCTAACATTTAAATGTCATTGGGTGATTTATTTCAGCACTTCTTCAACTTCTCTTAAATTGTTAAGTTTGTGAAGCTCTTTTTGCCACAAAATCAAAGTATCTCAGGGTTGAAAGGAATATTACATTTATTCATATTCAACTGACATTTTGTTGAACTCTTCCTTTTAGGCCAGGCACTGAACTAAGTATGTTCACATATCTTACTTTATTTAATCATCACAGCAATTTTGAGCTGTCGGCATGAGCACTCCTATTTGAAGAAACTGAGGCTTCTAAGAGAGTCATTCTGTTATCCACAGTCACAGGGCTTTGGAACAACCCCAGCCCCAAGCCTGGTGTTTTCTTCATGATATACACCAGCTCAGTGACCCCTTTGTAACACACCCAGTGACTGGGATCCACACCACACCACAGGAAGGGGCTCGTTCCATATCTAGACATTTCCAACAGCCAGAAAGGCTTGGCTTACCCTGCACCACCATCTCTATCAAAGACAGAGAGCAAATTCATGAACAGAGAGTGGATATCCGGCTCTGGCTCAAAATCCCTGTGCCTTTAAGAACTCAAGAATGTACACATACCTTCAACCCTCCCAACTCCAAGAAGGACAAGTGAAAACATCTAACCTAAAGGTTGAAATAACCTGAAGCCTTGAAATAATCAGAACTCTAAATAATGTGAAGGTCACAAAAACGATGCCCTTTATCTTTCCCACGTATTAACTTCACAGTTCCAGTTGAAACTCTCCGCACTTTTTTTCTTTCCTGAATCTGAAAGGAGACAGTCTAAAAAAAGTTGTCCTGAGGGTGTTGCTTGTAGATTACTCATGTTTAGGCTCCCCTGCAAGCAAGTCTACTCAGCCATGTCCACATTGCCCTTGAGAACCTCAGCACGTCTCCAAGGCGTCCTTCTCTAGGCAACAGTCCTGTGTATAATGGCCAGTTAGAGAGTGCCATGGAGAGTAGGTAATACATCCTGCCCAATTTGTTCTTTTTTTATCTCACCATTCTGAGAGCTCAGAGTGGGCCTAAGTCCCAAAAGTTCTGAATAATTTTCCCTTCTTTCTTTGCCTGCCTTCCTGAAATTCTTTCTGTGTGGCTGATTAAGTAAACACACGCATAAACACACACACACACACACACATACATACACACACACACACACACACACAGAAAAACAGGCACAGTTGAACCGGACCTGTGGATTTCTAACTGTGAGCCTCAGATAACAAGATATTTCTTTGTATTTTTTAGGGCACCACCCACCCATATACCCTATCCACGATTTTGTGTTTACAGTGGATCAGACCTTTCTCTCCAAATGTATAAGGTGAGGGATGAAACAGGGGACATGGAGAGTCTGACCAAATAAATTCTTCTGACATGAGAGACCACTCTAGATTGCTTTATAACAAAGCAGGTGATTTGCAGGGTAAATACAGGCCATGCTCTGTGAGTTTTCCTATTGATGAAATTCATGCTTTGAATTACTGATTGATAGCTGCTGAAGCATTGCAATATCTCTGTTCTAGTCTGGAAACAGTGCTGTAAGCAATGCACTTCTGATGACTGAAATTCCAAAAGAAAAAAAAAAAAAAACAGAGAAATTACCAAAGTAAAGCTCTACATCCAATTCTATAAGGCGCGAGGAGGGCAGGCGCACTTGGTCAGCCACACTGTGCTCACATCCTTGCTCAGAGCTCACAGAGAGGAATTCAGTCTACAGCTGGGAGCTCTCAGCCTCAGAATAGTTCACGCATCTTCATCATGACTGCACAGCAACCCTCTGCTCATGACAGGAGCTCTGCTTCCTCTGGTCAGAGGATAATGTGGAAATTATGACACAGATAAAGTATTTATCCTCTGGACAAGAGTAAGGAACTCACAAGCCAGGATATGGCTGGCTAGCACAGTAGATAGAATCCGTAGTAAGTGTCTCTGTCTGTTCCGGCTGTCATAGCACAGTACTATAGACGAGGCTGCTCATAAACAACAGAAACTTATTTCTACAGTCTGGAGACCAGAAGTCCAACATCAGGTGCCAGTGTTGTCTGCTGAGGGTTTTCTTCTTGGTCACGTACTTCTCTTTGTATCTTCACATGGCAGAGGGGTCTCTTTTATAAGGGCACTAATGTCATTCATGAGGGCTCCACCCTCATAACCTAATTACCTCCCAAAGGCCCCACTTTGTAAAACCATCACTTTGGGCATGAGGTTTCCAACATGTGAATTTGGGGGGAACACAAACATGCAGACCATAGCAGTTGACATCCTCTTTTACAAACACAAACACGAACGTGTTAGTAATCATCTGCCCCCACCCAGATCTCCCCTTCCTGTCGATGACCTCACCCCACCCCAGCAACACACACACAGAGAAACACACACATGTTGCTCATACATACACACACACACATTCACACATATACACACGTTACTCATACAGACACACACATATTCACACACATTCACACACATATACACACATTACTCATACAAACACACATACACACACATACTACTAAAGTTAGTCACCACCATTACATTGCCAGGATATTTGGTATTTTTCTAAAATAAACTTTAAGTTAAACTTAACTGTAAGTTTAAAAGGAAGAAATTGTGGAAAAGTAGGAACAGTTTAAGGAATATACTTGGAATATATTTAAGTTATATACTGAGCCGTTCTCCCCCCTAAATGATTCCCTGCAGACTCACTCACTTCCTTTCCTGTGGCCTGATGCTCCACTCATCAGAGCATCACTCGAGGTAGCAGGAGTGGGTCTGGAGAATGGCAAGGCTGTTACTGTTTAGCATATAATTGTGGATTTGGTTCTTTAGAGCCAGGTGTAATTTAGGGGCAAGGAAGATGGTAGACAAGCTCTGTGAGGTGGCTAAGATGACTTCTGTGAGGCCGGAATTGTCTAGTAAGAGGAGAAAGGAGCAGGGTAGGCAGAAGGAGGCTATCAGAGAAGCTGTCTTCTTTCAAGGTCTTGCCCGAGGCTGGCCCGCCAAACAAAGACAGGGGAAACTTGTCCTTCCTCCTCCTGGCAGTTTCCTTGCTACCAAGATCCAGGATGCAGGCTAATTGCATAATTGCTGTAACTTAGTTACATTGTCAAATAAATAATCTCTAGTTTTTGATCCATGTTAGAACATTGTACTGTTGGAAAACGTATTCCAAGCTCCTAAAAGCAATTTATATTATTATAATGTACTATGTATCATTATAAACATGCTATTAGCATAGACAGTATAAGCATTTTTCTTTGAAACCACTTGTTCTTCATACCCATCATTTAAAAAGACTGCTTAAAATTCCGTCCAGTGGATTTGCCAAAATTTATTTAGCCTAAGCATCTCAGGAGAAGAAAATGGCAACTTCTATTTTTGCTCTTGAAATTGTGTCCATTTTTTATTGTTAGTATTAAACAATACTACGGTAAGCATGTTTGTAAAAGGCATCTCGGTATTTACATTATTTACTTAGGATGGCTTGCCACACGTGGAGAGGTGGAGTTTGAGGATGTGAAGTGTTTGACATCCCACGTGTGGAGCTGACCTAATTTCCCAGAACGCAGCACCAGTGTGCACGCAACACACGAGAAACCCAGCTCTCCCAACGCCAGCAGCAGTGTGTTCTTTTTTTCATTGCTGTGAAAATAATAAGCCAAAAATGGTTCTTTGTCATTTTAGTTTGCACTCCATTAATCACTGGAGAACAGGAATAGAAAAGAAAGGTAGATGTGTCGCCGAGAAAGGCCGCTGGAGGGCTGCCGAGTCACGCAGGGCCACATCGCAAAGGTGAAGTCAGTGTCGGGTTCTGACGTTACCTTTGCTGGTGCCCCGGGGCGGGCAGGAAGGAGGGACACAGCTGAAACCCACCCCTGCATGGGATTGTGTGACAAGGAGCTGCCAGAGGTCAAGTGAATACTGCTCATCGAAACGGAGCCTGTGTGTATTCCGTTAACCCAGTGATCACACTCAAGACACCTACCCGAGAAAAACACTAGCATTAGAGACATATGTTCACAGAGTGCTCATCACCGTATATTTTTGTGTGATAATGAGACATGGGGACTAGGATTTAACTGTGATACACAACCATGAGAAAGAGTGAGACAGACATATTTATTCATGTGACAAAATGTCCATGATATATTATTAAGCTTAAAAGCAGAAAAGGTAAAGTTTGATTGTGTTTGCATTAGAAACTCGTGCATTTCCTGGGCCAGCACCCTATTCCAAAGGACTTCTGCAGTCCAGACACCTTCCGGTGATGATAAATGGATGCATGGTACTATGTGTAGCACTCTTTCAGTTTTATGTAGGAAAAAAGGTGAAAACACTCTGCTTTTGCCATTAATATAAGCCATAACTCTTCCCTGCACCAGAAGGTACTGAATATTCCAATTGTTGACATCTTATGGTAGAGTCAAAGAGAGCCCTGGCCAAAAAAAATAAGCATGGATATCTGTGTTATAATATACACCATCCACACAACACACACACACACACAGGGTTATTTTCAACATGAGTGGAATCAGATTGTACATGGAGCAAAATACTGATGCAATCCTTTCATTTTTTAAAAAGTTTTATAAACTATTGGCACTAGTTACCTCCAGAGGTTACCTCCACAGGCAATGTGATGGAGTTGGGAAAGGAAAGGATGGTAGAAATATTCTGCCCTTTTGCTCTATGAAAGAGTCCTTTTTTCCCTTTACAATAAGCATGTGTGATTTTTGAAAGCAAAACTAAAACCAGTAGGTATGTTCTACCTCTCCGGATATCTTCATTTTCATATTTCCTAATGAGAAAAGGATTTGGACACCTCACCTTCGCCCTGTTAGAACAAACTACAGTGAAACAGAACAGTTTTCAATCTCTTTACTATCTGAATTCAATCTTTGATGAATTTTTAATTTATGTTCTTTGAGCCTATTTATTTGGTGAACTATTCATTAAGATATTAGAGGCTCCAGTTCCACTTAAATGTGACAGATTGATCACACCTGTTCTGATACACAACCATGAGAAAGAGTGAGACAGACATATTTATTCATGTGACAAAATGTCCATGATATATTATTAAGCTTAAAAGCAGAAAAGGTAAAGTTTGATTGTGTTTGCATTAGAAACTCGTGCATTTCCTGGGCCAGCACCCTATTCCAAAGGACTTCTGCAGTCCAGACACCTTCCGGTGATGATAAATGGATGCATGGTACTATGTGTAGCACTCTTTCAGTTTTATGTAGGAAAAAAGGTGAAAACACTCTGCTTTTGCCATTAATATAAGCCATAACTCTTCCCTGCACCAGAAGGTACTGAATATTCCAATTGTTGACATCTTATGGTAGAGTCAAAGAGAGCCCTGGCCAAAAAAAATAAGCATGGATATCTGTGTTATAATATACACCATCCACACAACACACACACACACACAGGGTTATTTTCAACATGAGTGGAATCAGATTGTACATGGAGCAAAATACTGATGCAATCCTTTCATTTTTTAAAAAGTTTTATAAACTATTGGCACTAGTTACCTCCAGAGGTTACCTCCACAGGCAATGTGATGGAGTTGGGAAAGGAAAGGATGGTAGAAATATTCTGCCCTTTTGCTCTATGAAAGAGTCCTTTTTTCCCTTTACAATAAGCATGTGTGATTTTTGAAAGCAAAACTAAAACCAGTAGGTATGTTCTACCTCTCCGGATATCTTCATTTTCATATTTCCTAATGAGAAAAGGATTTGGACACCTCACCTTCGCCCTGTTAGAACAAACTACAGTGAAACAGAACAGTTTTCAATCTCTTTACTATCTGAATTCAATCTTTGATGAATTTTTAATTTATGTTCTTTGAGCCTATTTATTTGGTGAACTATTCATTAAGATATTAGAGGCTCCAGTTCCACTTAAATGTGACAGATTGATCACACCTGTTCTCTTTTGCTTCACCCTTAAATCCTTGTAAAAGGATTAAAAAAATACAAGTCAACCTGAGCAAAGAGGACAGGGGAAGACAGAAAGTAAATGGTGAAGCTGAATAGACAAAGGCTAGAGCCTTAGTTGGTGGAAGGAAAAAATCCTTCAAGCAACCGACTTGTGCTCTGACCCCCAGAAAGGCTTAGATATGGGGCCCCAGGTGTCTCAGAAAGATGGAGTTGACAACAGAGGATTGGCTTCAAATTTATAAATGAAGCCAAGCTTCTCCTTACAGCGGGGTAGCTGTCCCTAAAGCCAGATCAGGCAGAAGACTAGCAGTTCCCTCACTAGAGGGGCGGACTCCAGATAGCAGGATTGAGTGAAAGTTTTCATTGAGGCTTCCAGAGTCCTGCCTACAAACTCCATCAGAGAACAACTGGAGGATTGTTTTGGGGATAAAGTGTCATCTCTGAAAGAGGTGGCTGGTAGATACAAATGGGCCAGACCTGCCACCCAGCTGTGATGCCCACCCAGTAACAAGCTTCTGGGCAACACGTCCAGCCTCACTCTCACCTCCCACACCATCCATCACTTGTCACGGGATTCAAGTCTCTAATATGGCAAAGTCCAAACAGAGGCTTCAGTGTAAACAAAGATCATACTGGGAGAACAAGCTGTTTTGAAAAACCAAAAAACTACCCATATTCTCCAGTGCAGGTCCATTTGCTGCCTAACAAATTGCTCCCCAAATTTAGTGGCTTAAAATATCTGCAGACATTTCACGGTCTCAGATGGTTTCTGGGGACCAGGAATTTGCAAGGACTGTAGGGCGGTTCTGGTTTGGAGGCTCTAGGGGATTGCAGTTGGATGGCAGCTGGACCTGGAGGGGCCAGGAGCTGGCCAGGCTTCTCTCCCTCCTCCGGTTGATGCAGGGCTCCTCCATGTGTCCACCCCACTGCACTAGTGTGACTTCTTCCACCAAAGAGGACTTGAGGCAGGCAGCTGCTTTCCTGGCTAGGCATGGCTCCAAGGTGATTGGTCCAGTTCCTAAGGGCAGAAGCACATTGCCTTTTGTAACCAACCGAGCCTCTGAGGCCATGTACCATCATTTCTGCCATATCCATCAGGTTCAAGCAAGTCCCAAGGCTGCCCAGATTCTAGGGGTGGGGAATGAGAGCTATTATGACAGTCACCTTTGGAGAATTGATCAGAGAGATAAGAGAAGATATTCCATCCATGAAAAGGGAAGGAAAGTATGCCCTTTCCCCATGCAATTCAGAGTTGAGAAATTAACAATTTGAAAATGAAAATCTGATAGCAGAATTTTTAAAATGAAAGATTTAGAAAGTAAAAATCTAGTAAATTGTGCAGGGAAAAAGGAGAAAAGAAAGAGAGAGAAACAGAAAAGAGGATAAAACCAGTAAGTTCAAATATAGGTAATAAAAAAGCTAGATAAAGAGAACATAGAAAAGGGGGTGGAGAAAATTGCCAAGTGGATCAAGACAGTCTCCCTGGGCTGAAGGGCATGAGTTTATAGACTGAAAGGGTTAAACATAAAAGAAGGAGGGAAACTATATGAATTCATAATATTATAAAGTGTAGGCTTATTAGATATAAGTAGAAATTTCTAAAAAATTTCCAGGATGCTGGTAAAAGAAGATTAGAGGACAGCAGCTATGCACAAGGCCAAGAGAGCAACCAGCTCAGCTTGAAAAAGGTAAAATCTGATAGCAGAATTTTTAAAATGAAAGATTTAGAAAGTAAAAATCTAGTAAATTGTGCAGGGAAAAAGGAGAAAAGAAAGAGAGAGAAACAGAAAAGAGGATAAAATCAGTAAGTTCAAATATAGGCAATAAAAGAACTAGAAAAAGAGAACATAGAAAAGGGGGTGGAGAAAATTGCCAAGTGAATCAAGATAGTCTCCCTGGGCTGAAGGGCATGAGTTTATAGACTGAAATGGTTCAACATAAAAGAAGGAGGGAAACTATATGAATTCATAATATTATAAAGTGTAGGCTTATTAGATATAAGTAGAAATTTCTAAAAAATTTCCAGGATGCTGGTAAAAGAAGATTAGAGGACAGCAGCTATGCACGAGGCCAAGAGAGCAACCAGCTCAGCTTGAAAAAGGAAGATGGATGGTCCAGGGTGACATTTCCAAGGAAAATATGTAAGAGTTACAGAAAGGAGAGCTACACTTCCAACTGAGAAAGGAGGGATTCATGAGTGATAGGTATGCAGAAAACAAGGCAAAAAAGAAATGAAAGATTACACGGGGGTAGAGATGCAAGTGCTGTGAAGTATGTATGATCAAGAACAACAATATAAGCTTGTTACTTAGAAACAGGGAGTTAATGTCAGAGGAAGAAAAGGATTGTTTCTAAGGAGTGGGAATCGGGTGGGGTGGTAGAGTGGAGCGTTCCTATTATGTGTTCTAAGCCTTGTAGAAGGAAACTGAGTTCTTAGACTCTGTATGTCGTAACATCCTTTAGAATGATAAACTTATATACCACATTAAAATGATTGCTGAAAAGTGAAAACAAAAAGCAGTAGAAGAAAGCTCTCCCTCAAAGCCACTGGTATCAAAAAGAATGAAATAAAAAACAACAAAAAAGAAATATCTGTCTTCAATGCATCATGGACACAGCCATTGCTGTAAACCACAAATCAGAAAGCATAAAGGCCAAATACTTTGAAATTTGGATCAGAACAAGAGAGGAGGCAGTGAAATCATGTTTTGTTAACTTTATTTTACTCAAAGTTTAAAAGTGCCTTTAGTTTCATTTCAGTTTCTGTCCCCTATTGCATCTCTGTGAAATATGACTTTATTTTTTTTCCTGTAAAAGTAGCATAGGAGATTGTAAGTTATTTGCACCTTTTTGGTGCTAAGTTTTTCATAATGAGCACAAATTTCTTTTAAAAAAACAATCTAATGGTTCTTTTTTTTAATGAAGATTTTTTTTCTTTTAATGAAAATGCTTTTCAAGTAAGGATTTTCACCATTTTTAAATTACCTAAAAATTCAATCATTATCTTTCCTTTTCCTGCAAATATTTTACCCATACAGTTGTTTTCAGATCAAATATTAAGCTTTGAAAATACCAGCCTGACCATACTGTGTAGACTGAGAGGTCAGCACCAAATTACAGGCTTTTAGAAGAAGGTACTGATGTTAGACTTTGATTCCATTCCACCCGCCAGGGTACAGATGAGAACCAGAGCCAACTCAGTCATTAGCTTGGATGGGCACACTGCCTCAGCACCGTTAGAATCCCACAAAAATATGTTCATTTCTTTAAGAACTGTAAGAAAAAATGAACTTTTAGGATTAAGAAGCTATTTTGATATATGAGTGTATTCATCTTTATACCAACTCAGTTGTAAAATATGAACTTTTATAATTTTTTAGGGAGAAAAATGTCCACAAAGACAAATGTGCCCAGGCCCCCAAAAGGCCTTAATACGGCCCTGATGAGGACTCTGGGACCTAGAAAGATTTCTGTTGTTGGAGGTGGCAGAACCTAAACCAAACTTCAGGTCTTCTAACCCCAGCTCGGTGCTGGGACATCTCCCAAGCCACTGTCTGGCTTGGGTACCAACACTCTCCACCATCCACCATCACCAAGCATCTCCTCTGCCCTGAGCCAGGATGCACCTTCTGCTGCAGCTGGGTTGGACCCACCTCATTTCCCATGGTTCATCACAAATGTATCCCACCCAAGCTCCATCCACCCTCAGAGTTCCAAGACCACTAGAGCCCTTACCAGTTCTGGTTCTTGTTCCTATTTGCCTCACATGGAGTGATCTCCCCGCATCCTCTGCCTGTTCCAGAGTGACCTGTTCCATAGAGGCATTGTTCCAAGGCACCTTCCAGATGCCTTTCAAGATGAGTCCAGACTTGAGTGATCTGTGCCATATGTGAAGGAGCTTCACATTTACTAACAAACCATCTTCTCTCATATCATTTGTATTATCTCATCTTATCCTGTCTCCCTTATTAGTCTCATCCCCCCCACCCCATTATCTCAGGATCCTGGAGAGTAGAGACCCCATATTATAGAGTGCATGGTCAGCACCCAGTAGATTGGCTGGAGTTGCAGACTCTTCTGATAGTGAGCTCCATCAAGACCTCTTCTGGGCCCCTGAAGCCTTAGGCTTCCCTGGTGGCCGAGATGGTAAAATATCTGCCTGCAATACACGAGACCCAGGTTTGATCCCTGGGTCAGGAAGATCCCCTGGAGAAGGGATTGGCTACACACTCCAGTATTCATGCCTGGAGAATTCCATGGACAAAAGAGCCTGGCTAGCTACTGACCATGGGTGTTGCAAAGAGTTGGACACAACTGAGCAACTAACACTTCCTTTCTCTTTCTTATATTTGTAAACCCTGAAATAACCTTCAACCTGTCTGACTGTGAAATCCTCAGACCAGGGCTGCTATCTTTTCATCCCTGTGTCCTCAACCCCCAACACAGTGCCTGGCTCAAAGTAGGTATTCTGTAAATATTTGATGAATGGGCATTTTCTAGAACCAGCTTTCAGTTGAATTTCCAAGTTTGGGAAATGTTTATTTTTAATGTGAGCTCCCCACCCCTAAGAACAAATAAGGGAAAAAGAAAGCAAGAAGCCAATTTAGGAACAAAATAAAAATTGTGAAAGTTATTTCCATAGAAGTTGTAGTAGACTTTTCAGAGTTTTCTTCCATCNGAGCACGGGATCTTACAGATGCACCACGCTGAGCCGCCGAGGACAGCGGGAGTTTAGAAATGCCTATCAAAAAGCACCTGCATCGACATTGGACCTGTCAAAGCCAATCAGTTTGGTTTTGGTCATTGCACCTGGTCACTGTCGGCTTTGCAAGCACTAACTGAAAGCAAAGGCATAAACTGGATTTATTTTAGCATTTTTAGCATTTAGCTCTTTTAGCATTTCAAAAGCGCTTCTAGGAGAACCTCCCATTTGCGGACACAGATACGATTCCTTTTTCCGAGCTGACCAATTTCAGAATCAATTGGCTACTCACCCCAAAGAGCAATCATAACTAAAGGTCCCTAAAATTGCTTTTGAATGTCAAGATCCAGCATGAGAAACCGTATTTTGAAAATACAGTTCCAAGCCTCACGTCTTAATTCCAGATGAAATAAATCAGCCATTAATTGGATATTTTTTCTAATCCCTGATGTGGCCAGTCATGGAAGATCTCAAGCAGCAAGACTGGGAAGAACTAGAGGCAGGAAGTGCAAGGAGATGGGTCTGAATCTAGAAACTCACCCCTCCTGGGAACAGGACAGGAGGTTGGACATAGAGATGCGGCAGGAAGTGGTAGAGGGAGGGGCTTAGGAGCAGGTCGGTGATTGGCTCCTCGCAGGGGAGATCCCGGAAGTCTAGCGATGATGGTGTGCGCCCCGAGTGAGCATTTTATGTGCGTTACTTCACACACTTGCACAAGCATCCAAGGAGGGAGGTAGTTTGACTGGACCCATTTTAGGAACGTGAGAAGTTGATGTGTGGAAAAATTAAGTAGTTTGCCCCAGGTTATCTATCTAAACGTCAGAGCAAGGATTTGGACATCAACAATCCCGCTAATGGTAAAGAACTCACCTGCAAATGCAGGAAACATAAGAGATGCAGGTTCCATCCCTGGGTGGGAAAGATCCCCAGGAGAAGGAAATGGCAACCCACTTTACTATTCTTGCCTGAGAAATCCCACAGACAGAGGAGCTTGGCGGGCTAAAGTCCATGGGGTCACGAAGAGTTGGACATGATGGAGCTACTGGGCACAGAACCGCACAATCCAGCTGTCACCCACGTCCCCTTAACCACTGAGCCTTGATTCTCACAGGAGGTGATGAGCTGCTCTCTTGGGCAGGTCCTTCCTGGAGTCTGCCAACTTGCACCAGAACCCAGGCTCTGCAGAGGGGTGCAGGGAACAGCCCCTGTGACGGGGGGCTCACATTTCTACACAGAGCATCCCTAGCTCCTTGAGTGCACATTCCTAAGGAAAAAATGTTAAGCATGAGTCCCTACTTAACATACCTTCACTTATATATTCATACATAAATTTTGTACATGTGCTACTGGCTTAATGTACATCATTAAATATGGTTTTACTCATAGGGAAAATTATTCTTTTACACGGAAAACTGACCATAAATTCACTCCCAATAGTATTCACTTACACCAGCACTGAAAATGTGTATCCCTCTCCAAAAATACATTTTTAAAATAACTTGGGTCTGGTTTTTATTTTGACATCAGAATTTGTTGATCTAGAACCCAGTTCTAGAATTACTATTCTAGAATTATTCCCTAATTGTTGTGCTTATTTATCCAATGTGGATGATTACTTGAAAAAAAAAATGTAATGCAAGACCTTCGATATAGTGCATAGTTCTGAAACTGTATATTAAGGAAAAAACAAAATAAAAAGCCTGCAGCAGTAACCCCCACCCCCAAAAATGTTACCCAACAGGAAAAATTCTCTCTAAAACAATTCTTTTAAAATCTCAGAAACAAAGCCAAAATGTCAGTCCTTTCTTTTTAACATTTTTCACAGCAAAACAACAGCCAGCGTACAAAATAAATCTTTGGAGTTCAATCTAAGCTACTGCCATCAACGGAACATGTCTCATTTAGGGCAACGATTTCTTTTTCTGATCATTGCAATCATGCACACACACACACAAAGAAAAATTAAAAGCAAGCATTTCAGCCATCCTGACAGTCATCAGCCCTCCAACAGCTTCCCTTACTCCATCAGCCAAGGGTCATTATAGCAGCTGCCTTCCTGAAACCAAGTCTGATGGAAAGAGGCAGAGCTTAGCAAAGCCGCTGAAACATCCCACCTGCAAAACTCATTTAAGACTGGGATTGCCGTCAGTCTTGTCCCAGAGGGCCCCCTCCATCCTGCACAGGAGAGATGAGTTCTTCACATTCCATTTGTGTGGTCATCACTTGAGTTTTCCCTGAGGTTCTGGAAAAGCTAAAAGGTTATTTCCAGCCAGAGCCACTGGACCTGAGCCCTGTATCCTTTTCCTGCACAAAGCCCGACCTGGCAGTAGCTGTTGAGTGAGACTCCTGACCCGCACATTTAGGGAACAATATCAAGTTGGCCGATGAGACTGTTGACGGCTGGACTGGAAAGGGTTGACCCAAGCCCATGTCACCAGGTTTGTTTTTGTTCAGTCGCTCAGTCATGTCTGCCCCTGTGACCCCACAGACTACAGCCTGCCAGACGTCCCTGTCCTTCACCATCTCCCGGAGTTTGCTCAAACTCATGTTCACTGAGTTGGTGATGACATCTGACCACCTCATCCTCTGTTACCCCCTTCTCTTCTTGCCCTCAATCTTTTCCAGCCTCGGAGTCTTTTCATAACTAGACTGGTTGTCTGCTATTCAGAGCCAGCACCCCTGGGTGGCAGATTACTGTCTTTGTTCTGTGTCTTCTGAAGCCTCAGGTCAGGAAAGGGAAGCTCATTGCATTTTGTATTTGAGATGATAGGTTTGGCAATGGGAAATTATCCAAGAAGTGGGGGGGAAAAAAGCTATAAATTTTATAAAGGTTTCTAAATCATCAGGTAGCTAGTGTAGATTTTTAGTTGCCTTACGTGCTTTAAAGTGACTGCTCCGGTGCTTCCCTGGGCTTCTTCCTAATCACTGAGATAAGACTCTGTCTGCTGAAGCTGCTTTAAAACCTCCCCAGCTAAAATATCTTAGCCATGCTCTACAGATGTGATGGTTGTGAACAGAAGTGTCCTCCCCAAGCTGTAGCAGATCCTAATAGTTTTTTGAGGATGTTTGTTTCTTACTTCAAGATGCTCCCTGGCCCAGGTCTATAGTAACATAATGCATGTGCGCTGAGTTGCTTCAGTCGTTTCCAACTCTGCGACCCTAGGGACTGTAGCCTGCCAGGCTCCTCTGTCCATGGGACTTCTCCAGGCAAGAATACTCGAGTGGGTTGCCATGCACTCCTCCAGGGATCTTCCTGACCTAAGGGTTGAACCCTCATCTCTTACATCTCCTTCAACATTGGCATTTGGGTTCCTCACCACTAGCACCACCTGGGAAGCCCATAGTAATATATGGAGGTCATCTTTTCAGATGCATCCTTGTTAGCCACCTGGACCCTCCCGATAACATTCCAACCCCACCCCGTCTTAGCTGGTGATTGAAGATCCAGAGAGTATTTGTATTCCAGGTGCTAGCTACCAAGTGTGACTTGAATTCTCTGCTGCTCAGAGCTTAGCAGGAGCTCAGATGAGGGGAGGGAGGTGGGAGGGGGGGTTCAGGATGGGGAACACATGTAAACCTATAGCTGATTCATGTCAGTGTATGGCAAAAACCACTACAATATTGTATAGTAATTAGACTTCAATTAAATAAATTTTTAAAAAAAGAAGCTCAGTCGAGAGAGAGCATGTTTAGGAGGACAGCCTGGCAGCTGTGTGATCCACACACTGTCTTGCGTGAATGTCTCTCCCCCAGGCTGGCATAACTTCTTGAAAATATTGATGCCTGGGTGCCATCTCTTAGTCCGTGGGGGTACTCAGGGCACACAGGAGGCTGTCGGGGATGGAGCAAAATGACTAGCAGTGGAAAGAGAAGGAAATGAAGGGAAGAAACTAATGAGACTGGGAACGGGAATGGAGAGTGGATTTTGTTGTCTGGTGGGTCCTGGCAGGGGAGTGGCTTCTGCTTAGAAGGAGATGGGCACGCCTTCCAGGGTTCTGAGCAAAGGACTGACGTGGTATGATGTACATTATGAAATGATCACTCTGGCTAAATGATCTCTTCTTTCCATCGCATCACTTAAACTCAGAAAAACTCAAACAATTTTCCAGCCAGCTGTTCAAGTGTTTAAAGGAAAGAAGTGAGCAGGATCCTAAATGCTAGAATCTTCCAGGTAGCAGCTTCCCAGATTCCTGAAAGAGATTATGTAGAGGGCATAGCTCTAGCAAGTTCATGGTGTTTTTCACTCTAAGAAGTTTGAACTGGAAATGGGAGCTTTCAATTTGCTGTTTGCTCAGGCATGTCCAGAGGCTAGTCCCAGGAATGTTAACTTAATGTTTTGAGATAGAATGTAGGCATATGTGTACTTAAGAAGCTTCCTGAATGGATTCTAATGCACACACTCACCAGTGTTCCAGAGGCTGGAGAAGACAGCTGACATTGGCAAATGCTTTGATTTTCCCCTCTCATACCCAAGAGCTGTACTGACCAGTGTGGTCACCACCAGCTAGGTGTGGCTACTGAGCATTTTAAATGGGGGTAGTTGAAATTGAGATGTGCTAGAAGCACAAGACACTTATAGATTTTGAAAACTTAGAATTAAAGGATATGTGTAAAACGGTCTAATTATTCTATATAGATTACATTGTGAAACAATAGTACTTTGGATATACTAAATTAAGTGTGATGTTATCAACAGTAACTAACTGTTTTTAATGTGGCTATAAGAAATTTAAGACAGCACATGTGGTTCACAGTGCATTTGTATTGAACAGCACTGATGTAGAGCGTTTCAGAGACTCCTCTTACGTCAGAACCGTAGCCCTCTGTTTTCCAAACCTTCATAACACACCTATCCTGCTACCACCCTCCAGAGTCTTTTTTATTTTTTTTTTAAGAAAAATGCTACATTGCTTTTTCAGATCAGGTAAGAATAGAAAGCATTGAAAGACAATACAGGTTAGAAGTTAATAGTAAGAACTTGCTAGATGTGTAACTGTAAACAAGTTATTCATCTTCTCTGAGGCCCATCCCCTCATCTATGAAATCTGAATAACAGCCTGTATCTCAAGGTGTTGTTAAGTCACTAAATCATGTCCAACTCTTTATGACCCCATGAACTGCAGCACGCCAGGCTTCCCTGTCCTTCACTGTCTCCCAGAGTTTGCTCAAACTCATATCCATTGAGTTGGTGATGCTATCTAACCATCTCATCCTCTGTCGCCCCCTTCTCCTGCCCTCAATCTTTCCCAGCATCAGGGTCTTTTCCAATGAGTAGACTGTTCGCTTCAAGTGGCCAAAATATTGAAGCTTGAGCTTCATCATCAGTCCTTCTAATGAATATTCAGTGTTGATTTCCTTTAAGTTTGACTAGTTTGATCTCCTTGCTGTCCAAGGAACTCTCAAGAGACTTCCCAGCACCACAGTTTGAAAGCAATAACATAGCTCCTAACTCCCCATAAATGGTAGGCCCTGTCACTAACTCTGAACTTTAAAGAAAATTGGGAGACACCTTGGATTCAGGTGATGTGATGCGATGTTGGCAGTGGTACCCCAACTCCCAGCATCAGTGGAGGTGCAAAAATCAT